ATTTTTATAGAATTGTTCTGAATTGTAAAGACATCCAGTTCAGCTCAGCAGACACATAATGAGTGTTGAAATGTGCACGGTTCTTTGTTAGAAAATGCTGGCGATAAGAAAGGTGCAGAGGTACTGCCTCTATCATCCAGGAGTTTATAATCTGTTTATACCAAATTATGAAAGCAAATCACAGCCATGACTCACTTTGATACCTTAGCTTTTAATTAATCTTTTCACTTACATTATCTGGATGTAGATGGACAGATAATTTTCAAGTTTGCTTCGTGTATTTTTATGTTATGCTATTTCTTAAGCCAGCCCCGAACAGGAAATATGAGTTCTACTTCTTTTCTAGTATAATAATACAAGGAAAATTACAGTAATTATCATCTACTGTGGTGTATTTTGTTTATTTGATATGCAAAACTATGTGAGGTAGTTACTGTTACTTTCACTTACTGATGAAGAAACTGAGGCAACTCGCAGGTGAGGGTCAGAGGTAGGACATGAACCCAGAGCTGTTTTGTTTTGAAACTTACATAAGTACTTGACCACTTGGCCACAGCAGCCTGTGTCTGTGTGGAGGATATGCTTAGCCAGTAGATGATGTTGTCCATCTGTCACTCTGGCTAGCTGCTTGGCATCTTCATCTGAATTGAACCAGTCTTTGGGATGGAAAGATGAACTCAAAGCAACCTCAAGCCTTCATCAGTGGCATCTGTGCCATGTTCAGGGTGATAGTCTATTGAAAAAGACAGAAAATGTAACTTGCCAAAGAGTCCTTCTGCTCGAAACAAACAAACAAACAAGTCATAAAATGGTCTGGGGAGATAGCTCAGTGGTCTCAGCACCTGCCTGGCAAGCACAAGGACCCAACTTCAATCCCTAGTGCCACATGCAGTGCTAGCCCTGGAACCCCAGGTATGCAGTGCCAGCCTGAAACCAGGTCTGGTGGTACACAGCTGTAGTCCCAGTGTTGGGGAGGTTGAGATAAGCGGATCACTACAAGCCCAAGCTCTACAGCGAGACCTTCTAGTAGTAAATTTTTAAAAAATTTTTTCAAAAATCATAAGAGGTCATCTTTGGAAACTACCACCCTAGCATCAAATATAGAAAACACACTTAGAGATGACAAATCAGGAATTGCTTGGTCAACATGTGCCATCTGTCTGCAGCATGTCAGAGGGGCAGCATTTGAGAACCTGGGCTCCTAAAACTGTCCCACCACTTTCCTAAGACTTACTTGACAGTTCTGCGCTGTCATCTTCAACAGTAAGGCAGGTTACATCTGCGAATCTACCTATCACAAGGAAGACATTTAATAAATATTAAATAATAATTATTGTTTCTTTCACATTCACTGACAGAATAAAAATACTGGCACAGAGTCTTTAAGCTCTAATTACTTTGGAGGCACTGAAACCCAGCTGATGGTTGAAAATTTAATTGTGGAGCAGTCAGAGACAGAGCAGTAGGAAGGTGTTTTGAGCAGTGGTGTCACTCTGAACTCTGGAAGACGCAGAGCAATAAACACCAACGTGAGCTACCAAAAGGGACTGCGCGAGGGAAGGTTAGCGATGCAGCTACTGGTAGCGGGCTTCTGCGCAGTTACCCGCTACCTGGGCATGTGATGCAGGCATCTAATGAGTGATCAGCTGAATTAAGTGACTCATTAGCTTCAGTGTTTCTGGGGATATTTAGAACAACTTGCTGATGATCGCTACAACACCTATGAAGGCCCCAAAGCACTAATGACAAAGTTATTGATATCTGTATTAATATTAATGTGTTATATGAGCATAATTAATAGAAAATAGTATTGGTGTTAATATACTTATTGAAATTTTATAATTTATGGTACTAATAGTGGTGTGGACAATGTAGTAATGTAAGTAGAATATTGACATTACTAATATTTCCCAGGAACTATGAACCAGGCCTTATATTGTGTGAGATATACAGAGATACAGATGTCTCATTTAATCCTTACAGTAAATTGGGAGGTAAATACAATAACCCTTGTCTCTGCGAATGAGGAGATAGAAACATAGAGAAGTTAGGAAACCTACTAAACTTCTCCACTTAGTAGAAGTAAAAACGTTGAGATGTTCCAGGAGCAGGCAGGTTTGCTATGCCATTTATGGAACTCTGAAAAGATCACTCAGTGTCCTTAAAGAAAGGTCTGGAGATGATCTGGTCCATAGTTCTCAAATTGCTTTGTGAACTCTGGAAGTTGCTCCAGAAGGTCTATCATTTATAAAGTATTTGTGCCAACCAGGGAAAAGTTCAGATGTCTGGGGAAATATTTGTTGTTTGTACCTGCCTTAGGTATTGGGTTTTGTTGTAAGATTTTACTTTTTTTCTGTGTATTTGTTTGCTACAAGGTCTCACTACACAGCTTGGACTCATAGTGATCCTCCTGTTTGCAGCCTCCCCAGCACTGGGATTACAGGCATGTACCACAACACCTGGACTCTGTGGCTGGCTCAGCCCGCCCTGGGGGTGGGGCTGGCTCTGCTTATAGTGCTGTGGATCAAACTGCAGTCCCTGCACTTGCCTAAGCTTGCCTAAGCAGGCATTTTAGTCTACTGAACGATCTCACTGGCCTCAAGATTTTACTTTTAAAGAAAAGAGAAGGAACGTTTGACTGACATAGGTCCAAGGTGACAAATGTTTTCCATAAAGATGACATATAGTTGAGACCTTGTGGGCCACACTGCCTGTTATAACTTCATGGTATTGATGCAGTACAAAGGGAGATATGAAGAGTAGGCATGAATGAATGTGGCTATGAGCCAATAAAACTTTATTTAGGAAATGAACAGATTCAACCTGAAGGCCATAGTTTACTAAACTCTGGTCTGAGTCACCACCCTGATCAAGTGGCATCTGGACCTACACTTTCTAACTAGATAAGTGTTGGGGCCTAGAGAGATAGCTCAGTAAAATAAACTCTTGCCTGGCAAGTGCAGGGTCCTGAGTTCAATCCCTGGTACTGCATAAATAAGTATATAAATAAATAAGTGTCTTGCTTGCTCACAAAGAGAAAATATATCATCCAAGACCCCATATTTACTAGTACACCTTGTAATAAAGCTCTTACCATGGTTTACAGGCAAAGCAAACAAGTGTGTGTTTTGAATGTGCACTTTGAACCAGGTAATAGTGGCACACCTGAGCTAATCCCCATTGCAACAGCACTGAGTGGATAGTGTGATCCTCTTTAGAAAAGAAGAAAACTGAGGATTAAAAAGGAGAAGTATCTAGAACAAGGAGTAAAGCCAGAGTCTCACCACCTGCTTTCATACCATATTGACATGGCCAAACCACATTGCTTCTGCTGCCGTGTACTGTGGTGGAAGGTCATGAATGTTACCTCCCCCCCCCCCGGGAACTGGGGATTGAACTCAGGCCCTTGCACTTGCCAGGGAAGTGCTTATTCTACTGAGCTATCTCCCTGGCCCCATCAATGTTACCCTTCATCTATTCTTCTCTAGGGAAAAACCAAGTTCCCTTCATGGCCTCCCTTTTATCATTATCTCTGATTAGTTAGAGGTGTTAAGTTCTAGCACTATCATTTCTACCTGAGATTCCCAAGGCATAACACAAGAGGCACTACAATTTGAATGAACTAGTCTCCCATTTTTGATTTCTGGGCAATTTTTGTCTGTCTTAACAGCCTGCATTAGAGGATTGTATTTGCTGGTGATCCTCCATGGTCCATATGACTTTTATATCATTTTTATCTCTATACATTGTTTTAAATCTCTTTTTTGTTTT